AACAAGATTGGAGGAATTCGTTGATGTATCACCAATAGAGTTAACTTGATAATTTCCTGGACATGAAAATGCAGAGACAACATAGTTATTTGAACTGGAAGATACTAAAGTTGAATGATCATGAAAACCAAGAAATGAAGTGCTTAGAAATTGAACAGGATTTGGCTTGAAGTTGATTGCGATTAGAGCTTGAGCAGATTCAGTGGATCTTCCAGCAGAAAAATTATTAACTGAAGCATACTGTGGTTGTTGTAGTTGTTGATTGTATGAGGGTTGGTGACTATAAAAGGAACCATTAAAGTCTTGATATTCCTGATCGAAACGATGGTAACATTGCAATGCAGAGTGGCCTGTCTTCCCACAAACTTGACACACTAACTTTGGTTTGAAGTATCCTCAGCCTCTACCTCTGCTTCTCACCATGTTGTTGCTAAACTATGACATTTGACCAGGAAAACTCTGAGTATGAACAAACGGTCTGAAATTCGACCCTTGATAATCATTGCTTCCAAACACACCTCGTCCCTGATAACCACTGCTTATAGGAGCACCACTATTCTCTAAAAAATGAGTTATTCTTGGAGTAGAAACACTAGTAGGAAGATAATGTTGAGTACCAGATTCTGAAGATGAATTGAAAGAGTGCGGTATAGTAGGTGTTGCTTTATTAACAGTATTCAGAAACTGTGACGTAGCAGGATTAAGATAATCATGTTGTTTGGTAGCCAACAAAGCAGATGCTAGATGTTCATGAAAATTCGTCAAAGAATAGCTTTAACGTTCCAATCTCATTTCATGCTTATGAAGCATAAACAAAGCTTCTTGAATGCTTGTTGTATTGCTATTATAGGTCAAACTAGCAACAACATCATCATATTCAGGGCCAAGACCGTCTAAAATATACAAGAGTAACTCTTCTTCTCCAAGATTTACTCCACTGGCAACTAATTCATCTCCTATCTCCTTCATTTTGAGAACATATTCATTTACATTTAAATCATTCTTTTTAGTGCTTTGTAACATATTCCGTATATGTAATGTTCTAGCTTTGGAAAAAGACTGAAAATGTAGCTCTAAAGTATTCCAGATTTCATATGAACTCACACATTTAGCTACATGTCTGAACATTGATTCAGATATTAAAGAAAACTGTCAACTGACTAAAGATTGATCTAGTCTTTTCCAATTAAAATACTTAGGGTTTGGTTTCTTTACTACTTCCTCTGAATCAACAGATTTTCAACAAGAAACATAGGTGGACAGATACTCTCACCAGTGATGAAGCCATCAAGACCGTGAGATATAAGAGCAGGAAAGATCTGTGATCTCTAGTAACCATAATTCTTTTCCACAAGCTTAACTGAAAGTGTGGGAAGTATAGGATGGGCAACCAGACTATTTGCGTTTGCATTACCAGTTTTCTCACCTTCTGATTTTGAAGCAAGATTGGAAAACTCAGGATTGATTTGAGCTATTTGACATGTGTTTATAGCTCTAATACCATGAAGATTATTGATGAAAAGCCAGAAAAGGGCAACAAAGAAAAGAACAGAGAAAACACGTGATAACAAAAAGCTGAAAAAGGTAGAATTTGTTTATTTTGCATGAAGGTTAGTTACACGACTAGTACAGATGTTATTATATAACAGATCAAAACACACCGTATTAGGAAACATTTCAATTCTTACAAATACACCCTTACTCTATTATACTCAATATGGGTTAAGGGGTTGGCTGATGTTTTTTTTAGGAGAAAAGGATTTGAAGAAGAGATTAATCATATTAAATTTTATATTTTAGATTCTTTTTCATGATATCAAAAATAAGATTTATCAATTTTGCTCTTTTAACCGTTAATTGTACTAACTTTTGTAAATCAGTTGGGTGTGTCTGTCACTTTTTGAAAGCTGCAGGTGGGCATGTTATTTATGCTTTAACATTTTTTTAAATATAAATATTCATAATGTCTTTAACTTTAAGTAAAAATTAGAATTTCTTAAATATTACAAAATATAAAGAATAATTACAACTTGAAAAGGTCATACTTAATTTATTAATTGACTAGCTTGTTACAACTGCAATGTATATATGTATGAAAAGAAAATCATTATTCAAAGTAGGCTCATATTATTAATTAACAGCTTTATTTTATGTAGACAAAAATAAACCCCTTTCAAACAAGTAGTTGATGAAATCTCCAGTCCACACCATCGGTATGCATTACCAAACCTAAACCTTTGTTTCTTGATGAAATTGGTTTGATCACCCTTTTTTTCATTTTTCTTTGACTCCTATATATAGAGTTATAATATAGGTGAATAAACATCTAATTTTCTCATTTAAATTTATAATATAGTACATATTCATCATATATGCAAGCTGACTAAATAAAACAAGTTCAAATTAAAGATACCAGTGGGGATAGTAATAATATTAATTGAAGAAGAAAGCATGAGGAGTGAACGAAATAGCGACAAATACGAAACTGATATAATAGACAAAAAAACACAAACAGTAAAGAGAGAAAATAATACACGCGATTTACATTGGTTCACCTAATATAGGTTACGTTCAGCTGAGTCAATATTATTGCAATACTTTTTCACCTCTTTTGTTTACAATAAATGAATTACCTTGTGATTGTTATCACACTCATAACAAGAGAAAAAATATGTTTATATACTAGGTTTAAAAGACTAAGCCTAGTTTTACAATGATTTATATTCTTAAGCCCAAACCCAATAAGGAATTAATGATTTAAAGAAATCCTATAACGATTATACATGAAAAAGGCCCAAACTGCCTACAGGCTTGGGGACCCCCCGATTGTGTCTGCGTAACCCATTAATGCTGAAATAGTCAACAACTCCAACAAGAAGTTACCAAGATGGTGCAGTAGAGTTTGGGAAAAGGAAGAGGTCAAGAATCAAGCTTTGTTTTCAAGCCGTCCAAAACTTGGTTCCACCGTCTCGATGATCTCCTCCTGCTTTCTTCTTCAATATTAATGTCTCCATGCAAATTTGTGGCCACTGATATCTTTAATTTGGACACGAGTTATACACCTAAAAGAAAATTGAAAAAAAAAAAAAGGATGAACACTCCCAAGTAATTAATCCAAATTACACCAAGAAACAAGGTATGGTAATGCATAGCAAGAGTGTGGCTGAATTATACTGTGTGGCTTAACTTGGCAGCATTCTACTTAATTGGCTTGCCAATTGCACTACTAATTGGATTTAAATTAAACTTATATGCAAAGGTGAGACATCATTTTGTTTCTCTTAATCTATCCGGTACTTTATCTCACTTGTTCCAATTAATTTCATGTTGAATTAATGCTCTATTTGGTCCAGGGTTTGTTGATAGGTCTAAGCTGAGACTCTCTTGTTGACTAGATATTGCAGAAACTGGAGTAAAATGGAGATCATTGTGAAAAAAAAAAAAAAAAATGACTGAACTCCATCAAAATTGTTTACTTTGTATTTGTAACATCATCAAGGCCACTAACATCTTTAACTTGGACACGAGTTATTCTTGTTTATGTCAGCTTGAATCTTTGAATTCTCCTCGGAGTTCCATTATTAAATAAGATGATATTGCTGTAGATATAGTTTAGATTCATAGAAAATGTCGCGTTGGATCATGTGTCCAAAGCTTAAATTAAAAGAGGTTTACCAGTGCATAATGTAACAGTCAACATTTTGTTTCTGACTTGATGAAAAATCACACTCTTCTCTAAGTGTGTGTAAACTCTTTGAATTTTCTTTGTTTCAAATCTTCACATTATAACATGTGGATTTAATATATATAAATACCAAACCATGCATGCAGTTGAATGAAATCAGAGTTCGAGATTCCTTAACGATATTTGAAAAAGAAAAATAAGATTGATAATTTTCTACATATTATATTTATATTTATGCTTCATGATGATACAACAAGGTAATTGTTACGAAACCTAGCTTACGAGAGATTTGCAATTGTTGAAGAATCAAAATAGAGCTTGACAATATTTATGAAGTTTTTAATTATAGTTTTATTAAAACACTCCTTCCATGAGGAGGATTTGAATAATTAATAATAACAGTTGATATTAAATTATGTACAAATGTTTTAGAGGTCAGTTGATTGCGAGTTTTGACAGATTTTATATTTGATGATGATGAATTCTATGGTGGATTTCAAAGTGGTTTTTCATGGGTTTTGATGGTGGATATGGCGGTGGGGGGTTTTGATAGATTTTACAGTGGAAGATGATAAATTTTGTGGTGGGTTTACGGTGGTTTTTAAGTTGGCTGAGAGATGCTGGTGGGAGATGATGAAATTGGATACTTAAATTGTTGGGTGAAACAAATAACTTGACGAAATTTGTTAGGTTAAAAAGAAAATTTGATAAAATTTGAAAAGTTCGGGGTTTATTAGTTGTATGTAGAAGGGTAAAAATGTCTTTTTTAGGTTTATTCGATTTCCATTAATGAACATTATTGACGAAATGGGGTTAGGGTGTTAATTTTTAAACCAGTGAGTGCTCATGCAGAACACCTAATACAATAGTTGAAACGCGAGGGGCTAATTTAGATTTCCCTTTTAGTGAGCCGTTGACCATTTCACCCCTAATTTTTTTTTTTTAAATACCAATATTTATTATGCCTTTAATTTTAATTATTTTCTTTATAAAAATTTAAATATTGAAAATATTTATATAAAATGAATGGAAAAATTCTCATTATTTAAAGTAGACTCACATCACTATATTGTTGACACCTTTAATTTAGGTAAGACTCACAAATTACACCGTTTTAAACAACATTTAATCCCCACTCTTTATATGCATTAACTACTTTGTGTTCATCTTTTTTGTCATTTTCCTTTGATTCCTATAGAGTTCTATAAAGATGTATAAGCATCTTACTTCTCTTCTCATATAATCTTTATTACACTACATATATATTCATCTTACAAATTGATACAAACAAGAATAACTCGTGCCCAAATCAGAGATGTCAGTGGTCACAAGTAATTTGCATAGATATAATAATAGGAGATCATCAACAAGATGGTGGAAGAAAATTTTGGACGTGGAAGAGGCCAAAATTCAAGCCTTATTTTCGCTTCCAATGATCGTTACCAATGTTTTTTACTACGCCATTACTTTGGTTTCTGTTATGTTTGCTGGCCATCTCGGCCAACTTGAACTCGCCGGAGCCACTCTCGCAAATTCCTGGGCCACTGTCACCGGCTTCGCTCTTATGGTAAGTATCAGCTTTGAATAAATTAATTTGAATTGGTTCATCATTATAATTGAGTTATTGGTGAATTAAGGGAGTGTTATGAACTGATGATGGTTTGTTCTTTAATTTGTTGTCGTTTTAGGCAGGATTAAGTGGAGCACTGGAAACACTTTGCGGCCAGGGATTCGGTGCTAGACATTACAGCTTGTTGGGAATATATTTACAATCATCTTGCATTATATCATTCTTCTTTTCCGCTATAGTATCTATTGTCTGGTTCTATTCTGAACCTATTCTTATTATCCTTCATCAAGATTCCCATATTTCAAAACAAGCCGCTCTCTACGTAAGATATCTCATTCCGGGTCTGTTTGCATATGGCTTTCTACAGAACATTTTAAAGTTTCTTCAAGCACAATCCGTTGTGAAGCCATTGGTGTTGTTCTCAGCTCTTACGCTGGCCATTCATTTTGGTATTGCATATGCTTTTATACATTGGACACCCCTTGGTTTCAAGGGAGCTTCACTGGCAGCTTCAGTTTCGCTATGGATTTCCACTGTTTTGTTGGCAATATATGTCTTTTGTGCTAAGAAATTTGAGCGTACATGGGAAGGATTTTCTTTTTTATCATTCAGTTACATCTTCACAAACTTAAAACTAGCCTTACCTTCTGCTGCTATGGTATGGTAAGTCTGCTCAAATTTTCAATTTTCTACCTCTTTTTCTTCCTCATTTTAACTTACAAAGTGTCATAGGCTTAATTACTTGGCAAGGGAATCCCTTATTAGTCATTTATTCGATCTTAATTTATACCTTTTCAGCTTGGAGTTCTGGGCCTTTGAGATTCTTGTGTTCTTAGCTGGATTGATGCCAAACTCTGAACTAACTACATCGTTGATAGCAATATGGTAAACTTAGCACTTGTTTACCTCTCCATTGTTTTCTTATTTATCCTGAACTGACTTTTGATATATTGTTTCATTATTGATCTTCAGTATGAATACAGAAGATATTTCCTATATGATTACATATAGCCTTAGTGCTACTGCAAGGTCAGTAGAAATTAATCTTCAGTTCGTTGTTTTCGACATCGCCTTTTCAGTATTGATAGACGTGGGATTTAAAACTTATATTTGTGGCATGCAGCACAAGGGTGTCAAATGAGTTGGGAGCAGGAAATAACGATCGGGCCAAGAATGCGATGGCTGTGACTCTCAAGCTCTCAGTTCTACTTGCACTTATACTTATTATTGTTCTAGCTTTTGGTCATAAAATTTGGGCTAGTTTCTTCACTGACATCCCTGAAATGATAAAGCAATTCACTTCTTTGACACCCTTTCTTGCAATCTCAATCATGTTAGACTCTGTGCAAGGTGTCTTATCAGGTTTGTTTCTTTCATTTTTTCAACACTAAACCATTAAATACTATATTTCTTCATTTCTTTTTTGTGAGTTTAATTTGTTTATGCTGGTGAATTTATGGTGCAGGGGTAGCAAGAGGATGCGGTTGGCAACACTTGGCTGTGTGTGCTAACTTGGCAACATTCTATTTCATTGGGATGCCAATAGTAGGAATTCTGGGATTTAAGTTGAAGCTGCATGCTAAGGTGAGAGATCGATGCAACAATTAAACAGTTTGTTCATCACACATGCATGACTCCATAGCAACTATTCTATACTTTTTATTTTTTCTATTTATTTCAATATGTTTATGTTGCGTGTTTGGTGCAGGGTTTGTGGATTGGCTTGATTTGTGGTCTCACCACCCAAGCCAGCACCCTTTTATTAATAACGCTGTGTCGAAACTGGACTAATATAGGTGTCCCTGTGATTAGAGAAAATGAAATCCCAAATATTATTGAACCAAATGAACTTCTATATGCAAGGCAAGAAGAGAGCTAAGCGAAGACACATGCACATAATTACACAATGAAGTTTTTTTCCAAACTTGAGAAAAAATTCTAATTGACAGACACAGAAAAATTGTGGATACTTACCATATACCATTGAGGCAGCAGAGAGTGTGGGTAGTTTAAAGTTTGTGAAGATGCAACTGAATGATTCAAGACAAAATCTTTTCCATGTATTGCACCATTGTCAACAAAAGGATCTATTTGTGTGGGAATTTGAGAAGATGACCAATTTGTGGCACAAGGAACTCAATATGTTGGGCTGAAACTGAAAGCCACATGCAAATCGACCAGGAATGAGATACTTCATAGAGCTACTTGATTTTTGTAATATTGGAATCTTGATGAAGTAAGCTAAGTATGAATTGAGAAGAAGAATAAAATAATGCAACATGGTTGTAAATATGTTCCGAAATGTTGCTTTTGTATAGTGTAACGCATCCAATTCTAAAAATTAAGAATTTTTATTAAACCCAAACGCCGCAAAGCATTTCATGAATACCCAAACGCCGAAAAGGACTTCATGGAAATTAAATGTCCACTTGAAAAGTCTTGGATAGAAGAAAATAATCAAACCTTTTCTTTTCCTTTCCTCCTCTACAGATGATTGTTTGGTTTGGTTAGCCAACAATTGGGGTTAATGGGAATGTCCATTTTAGTCCATTTTTTTGCTGAAAGTAATGAATATGAGAGTGGCGGCTTGGCTGAAGAGGCCAATATTATCCAATCCACAGACCCTGTACCAGAATAAATTGAAATATTTTCTTGAAAGAACGGAAATCATTTCTCTTGATACATATTAACTACTTCAATTAATGTTGTCTCACCTTAGCATGAAGCTTCAACCTGAATCCAACAATTATACCGGCACGCCAACGCAATAGAATGTTGCCAAGTTAGCCCACATAGCCACATGCTGCCACCCACATCCTCTAGCCACCCCTGCCACACATGGTTAATCCCTCAGTATAGATGGAAAATTCATTTGATGCATGCAAAAATGGATATATATAGTATTGAATATATACAAACCTCAATGGCGGAAATTAACGCCACAAGTGCCTCTAATTATATTTCCTCAATCAAGCGATTCTGTTGAAACAATGATATTTTGTTGGAAATTTAACTGAAAATTCAGTTGGTTTTGAAAATATTTTGGCGCCAAAGGAGCACTCTGTCTGCCTGCTGTCTGCCGTGAATGGAGGTGCTGTGGTTGTTAGATTTTGGTGTTATGTTTAGGTGCTCTCAGCTATGATTAAGGGTATATTAGTTATAAATATTATTTTTAAATTTCAAACCTGTAAATGTACTGATTAGTTGGTGTAACAGTAAGCATTTTGGTTGTATAAAATTGTAATGTTAATTGCAATGAAAAATAACTTTCTCTCAACTCAATTTCCTCTCCTCTTTCCTTAGTATTCACTGGTACTAAACACCAACAATTGGTATCAGAGCCACATTAAAACCTGAAATCTCTCCCTCCCACATTCAATCATCCATCTCAGCTCAAGAACATCTTGTTCCAGTCTTCTTATTCTTCCTGCTTCAGATATCTAAACTGTACCAATGGCTACTCAATCAGCCTTGATGTCACCTCCAGTGGTCAATGGAGAAAATTATCATATATGGGCTGTAAAAATGAAGGCTTTTCTCCGGGGTTAGGAGCTGTGGCAGTATGTGGAAGAGAATAGGCAACCACCACCGTTAGGACCAAATCCCACTCTGAATCAGATTCGAATGCATGAAGAAGAAGCTGCCAAGGCACTGAGAGCCCTATCCCACATCCATGCTGCTGACCTTGTATTCACAAGGATTATGACATATGAAACTCCAAAGGAGGCGTGAGATAAGTTGAGAGAGGAATACATGGGAAGCAACATAACAAGGAATATGCACATGCTGAATCTAAGAAGAGAGTTTGAGATGCTGAGGATGCAAGAATCAGAGAAGGTTAAGGAGTATGTTGACAAGTTGATGAGTGTTGTCAACAAAATTAGGCTGCTTGGAGTGGAGTTGACAGATAGGAGATCGTTGTGGAGAAGGTCTTGGTAAGCTTGCCCAAAAGATTTGAGTCCAAAATCTCCTATCTTGAGGATTCAAGGGATATGAGGCAGATTACTCTTACAGAGTTGGTTCATGTGTTGCAAGCACAAGAGCAAAGAAGGCTCTTGAGGCAAGAAGATGCAAGTGAGGGTGCAATGATGGCAACTCACAAAAGTAAATCATTTCAAGGGAACAATATGAGATATGCCGGTGATAAAAAGGGGAAAGAAATGAGCAATGATCATTGGGGAAAACTAGGGGTGAGCGGTTCCGGGTACCCTGCACTTTTCCGAGGAACCGGAACCGGAACCGCACAGTACAGGTTCCCAAAAAAAGGAACCGGAACCGGAACCGCACAGTACAGGTTCTTCAATTCAAGGAACCGGAACCTAAAATGCAGGTTCCGGTTCCTTTCCAGGGTACCCTGTAAAAAATCAATTACCCCCCTATTAGTTTAAAAAATAACAAAAACACCTTATAAGTTTACAAATACACCCCTAACAAATTTTCGTTATCATCATTTGTGTCCAATGTAATCTAAACTGTATCTCATAGCAACGCTGAATTCAATCAATTCATCACAATTCACATAAAATCGTCAATCAAAACCAAAACACAAACAATTATTCATCACAATTCACATAAAATAACTTCACCAAAATCATTTTAAACGAACAGCAATTCTTAATACTAATTACTAGCATTGTCATTTGCCAGGGGTCTATTTGATAAGTTAATAATTATTAATGTTTATAAATTAATAAAATTATAATGTTTATAAATTTATTAATTTAATGTTATAATTGGTTAATTGGGTATTTATAATATACCAAATATAATTTAGTAGTTAATATTAGAAACAAGTAATGTTATAATTAAATAAGTGATCATACTACAATGTAAATTGTAATGTTATAATTAATTAAGTGATCATACTACAATGTAATGTAAGTTATAATAATTAAGTAATATATTATTTAATTATAATGTAATTATAATTAATTAAATTGTTAATCATTTAATTAAGTATTATAATATTGTTTATAATAGAATGTTATAATTAATTAAATAATCATACCATAAATTTATAATATAATGTTATAATAATAAAATTTAATAATTCGATTAAATATTGGGCAAATTAGTAAATTACTAAGTTTATAATATAATGTCATAATCAATTAAGTAATAATTTAATTATGTAATGTTATATTAATTATATGATCATACTATAATGTATAATGTAATGTTATAATGAATTAAGTAATCATACTACAAATCTATAATTTAATATATAATTAATTAAATTTCAAATCATTTAATTAATATACTAATGTTATAATGGAATATATAATGATTAAGTATCATATTACAAATATATAATGAATGTTATAATAATTAAATTTTTAATCGTTTAATTAAGTAATGTAATGTATAGTAAATTACTAATGTTTATAATGTAATGTTATAAATTCATAACTAATTAGTAATTATGTATCATTTAACTAATAATGCTATAATTAAGTAAGTGATCATAATATAATGTAATATTATATATATATTAATTGAGTAATTATTTAACTATAATGTAATGCTTAATTAATGTTTATAATAAAATGTTTATAAGATAATGTTATAATTAATTAAATTTCTTATCATTCAATTAAGTTTTGTGCTAATGTTATATAGTAAATTAGTAATTACAAATGTTTAAATATAATATCATAACTCATAATCAATTAAGTAATTATTAATTATGTAATGTTATATTAATTATTGATCATACTTAATAGTATAATGTAATGTTATAATGAATTAAATAACATACTAAAATCTATAATTTAATATTATAATTAATTAAATTTCAAATCATTGATTAATATACTAGTTTTAATAGAATGTTAATTGATTAGTAATTATATTATAAATATATAAGGTAATGTTATAATTAATTAAATTTTAATCGTTTAATTAAGTAATGTAATAATATAGTAAATTAGTAAATTACTAATGTTTATAATGTAATGTATAAATTCATAACTATATGTAATTATATAATCATTTAACTATGTAATGCTATAATTAAGTAAGTGATCATAATATATAATGTAATATAATAATATTATAATTAATTGAGTAATTATTAACTATAATGTAATGAATTAATGTTTATAATGAAATGTTTAAAGGTAATGTTATATAATTAAATTTCTTATCATTTAATTAAGTATTGTGCTAATATTATGTAGCAAATTAGTAATTACTAATGTTTAAAACATAATATCATAACTCATAATCAATTAAATAATTATTTTTATGTAATGTTATAATTAATTATATAATCATACATAATGTAATGTTATAATGAATTAACTATTAAATAATCAAATATAAATTTTAATGTAATATTATAATTAATTAAATTTTTAATCATTTAATTAAGTTTGTACTAATGTTTATAATAAAGTCAATTAATTAAGTAGTAATCAATTAATGTAATACTATAACTAATTATACTATAAATCAATTAAGTAATGTTATAAAATATAATTAATTAAGTAATCATTAACTATAATGTAATGTTATAATTGATTAAGTATGATATTTAACTAGTAATTAAATTTATTAATGTTATAAATTTCATATAATAATTAATTATACTAATTATTATAGATTACTTAGAGCTTGATAATTGAAGTAAATAACTAAATATATATTACCAATCAAATATACTATTTTATTCAAAAATAATTCTTTTAATAACATTAAAAATGTAAAACACTTTTAATTGGATCATAATTCCAATTATTCACTTAATTGATCAAAACTTAATATTAATGATTATATATATTAAAGCTTTTAATATGGTGTAATTTATATGTAATAAGTATAATTGTATTCGTATATTATTTAATTAGGTTATTCTAAAAATTTAACTTTTTCTATTTTAAATTTTTATATGTAAAATAATAGAAATCCCCCATTATTTACATTCACAATATTTCATATAGTCCAAGTTCAAAATAGGTCTAAACAGGTTCTAAAAAACAGGTTCCAATATGGTTCCAAAACAGGTTCCAAACAGGTTCCAAAACAGGTTCCAAACAGGGTACCCTTTTTACAGGTTCCGGTTCCGGTTCCTCCGGGGGTAAGAACCGGAACCGGAACCGCACAGTAGCGGTTCCAAAAAATTGGAACCGGAACCTACCCGCACAGTGCAGGTTCTGGGTAGGTTCCGGTTCCGGTTCCGGTTCCGGTTCCGGTTCTTACCCCCGGTTCCGGTTCTACCCGCTACCCGTGCTCACCC